TTAGGTTCGACCCCTTCAGTAGGCAGTTCCGCAACAGAAGGCTGGTTTCAACTAATGATTTCTGCGCACGCATTCTTCTGCAGGCTGAAGGGGCACCCAGGTTTGCTCGGGAAAACTTATGCATAGAGAGACCATACATGGTGTGGGTTCAGCCCAGTCCAAGAACATTGATTCAAACAACATAAATTCAGAACAAGAACTTGCATTGTATTTGAAGCAAGAAAACATTAGACCCAAGACTCAAAAGCTTTTCCAAGATCGAGCAAACTAGGTGTACATGCCATTGATCTTAACTCGATCAAATTCACGAGAGTAATCTTCGTTTGACTTTGATGCTCGCTCGATGTGCACATAGCTAACACGGGTACAATCCACAGTGGCAAGAGCATGTGCAATAGACATCAGGTTCTTGATCTGAGACAATATTAGCAAGGGCTGAATTGAAAAGGGTCCAAAGCCATACATCTCGGCCGTTAAGATCTGAAGTTGCTAACCGATTCAGATCCTGATCATTTATTGCTGCAGGTCCTTGATGCGTACGTGCTTGGGAGACGAAATGCTTCCATATTGCCTTTCGTTGCTGTCGACTTAGGTTGGGATATTTGATCTTCAGATGGATCCTGCTAAGGATTGCCTCGTCAAATTCTGTCTCGCGGTTGGTCGTGAGGAAGGAGGTCCCTTGGGAGTATTCCAGTTTGCGGAGGAATATGGTAACAATAGCGTCCTTCGACATGTTGATGGATGTGCGACGCTCAAGAAACACGTCAGCTTCATCTAGAAGGAGAAGAGCATCGAAACGTTTGGCGATTTGGAATATTCTTGTGAGGTTGTCCTCAAGTCTATCGGGTTGGGTGGCCAGTTGCGCGGCAGGAATCTGAAACATCAGCAGAAATTATTGACTTGGAATTGAAGCTGGGCTTACCGGGTAAAGAGGCCGCTCAAAATTCTCAGCCATAGCTTCAGCCGTCAGAGTCTTACCCACACCCGGCGGGCCACTGTGTCTGTTAGCAGGGAAACCAATTGGAGGCCGTCGGGACATACTACAAAAGGACGATCAGGCCACGCCCCTTGCCTGCAACAAAATCATCAAATGGGAGGGTGGGAGTCACACCCATCCGTGTCTTTGCAAGCGCCATAAGGGTGGATCTCTGCTCATCTGGAATTGTCAAGTTCCCAAAGAGAGTCGATGACCATTTAATTTCATCGATGTCGTCAACCGCAAACTCATCTAGAATCAAATTAGTGTTTGTATTGGAAAAAGAGTTGACAGGCCTCACAGAAAGCGTTATTAGTGAAACTAAAACCGGGGACAGTGGGACAGCATATCAGATAGTCATCATCATCCATGTCGCCGTCCCCCACATCATCATACTTCACTTGCTCCTTCTCTTTCTGGACTTGGTCGGCAAAGTCAATCCAAAAAGCTCCATCTAAATCGATACCCGTGGCCTGAGACTTCTCAATGCGTGGGCGAGAATAGTTCGGCATCATCTCATGAAAGAACGAAGCATCGATTCCAACACAGCTGTCAATATTGACTCGCACAGGCTGTTTCTTCATCATGAAGAAGGCAGTTCCACGGCAGTGACGGATATGTGTTCCTGCTAGTCCACAGAACTTCCGGCCGCATTTGATCAGGTTCTGCCTCACCGTCGCTTCCTCCGGGTGGTACTGAAGTGGAAATGCTGGTAGCTGATGGATGGGTCGCAAGCCTCGAAACTTTTCAATTTCGAGTTCCATGCCGGCTTTTCCAAGAACCTTTCCGTCATAGTCGATGTAGCTGCAATCGAGGCTGTAATACTCCACGCCATTAAACCTGGTTTTCTCCTCAATAGCATTCAGCACAACGCATCTTGGCTTCTCCGTCCCAAAACATTTCGTATAGATGATGGACCCCGGCTTGAAGATGGCCCAGAGAATGTCCCACGTCGCCTGTCCACTTGCAAGTTGGGATGCGAGCCGTTCGGTTGTGGGCTGGTATGTCGTCGAGACGAATTCGATGAGCAGGGAAAGGTAATTCACTTGGTCCTGTCGGCCCGGTTCACCAGCGGCGTTTGCCCTATATGTCTCCAGCTCAGGGAGGAAGTAGTACAAGAGGTCCAGCTCAACCTGTGTCAATGTTAGCCACTGCTGGGTTCTGCAATGAGGCGCAACATACACTAGGCTTATCCTCCTGCAAGCTGATGGACTTGACAACTTTCAAAACATCCTGCAAAGCGCCACGAAGGAATTTTGACTTGATGTCAATGCAGACGGTCCGCTTCGTGGAATTTTTTCCAGTTCGGGTCCGAACGACGAAGGCATATTGGTCAAGCTCGTCGAGGACCTCTTCCACCGCTTCCTTGGTCTTATACTGCAGTGTCGTTTTATCCCAACTGCAAACCAGTCAGTCGAGTTGATGAGCATTAATGACGGAGCACATACATTTCATTGACTCTCTTGAAGTCAAGCTTAGAGCCAAGTGCGGCGACTGCGGGCTTGGAGTCTAACGGCTTGTTCGCTCCCGACGATGCACCTTCCGTGTTGGGCTCAGCTGCGGTGGGATTGGCCCTGACCTCCTGGATAACTTCCACAAGGAGATCTTTCAGTTCCTTCCGTACGACAAGGTGCTGATACATTCCATCCAATGTCGGGCTCCTCTGGGCGCTTTCGTCGATCGGGCTGCATGGAGGTGTTTGGGCAGGCGGCGGAGTGGCAGGCGCCTTGCCATTGGCCATGAGTTTCGACATGGTGATAATTGAAAAGGAGGGGTTATCTTGTAGATTGGTCAGGAGTGCTAGCTTGATAGGGGCTTCTTGGTTGAACATCTGTTCATTGCCTCAGTCAATCTGGGTAATCGTGCCTTCTTATAGACTGTCCTGTGGATAGCTGCTGCATGTTGACTATTATGCATTGACCCTGAGCAAAGGCGACACCATTTCCGCTTTGGCCACGCAGATACGGG